GCGTGAGCCCCAGTGAGGGTGCTTCGCATTATAATCACCTGCAGCAAGGAAGCGCTCTCCCAGCGAACTGAAGAAATCCATAAACTGTTTTTCTGTTATCGTGAAACGCGGGGGACAATAAACCGCGGACAGCGTAATATCACCTTGCTTTGTTTGTACGCATATTGATTTTGCTTGCAGATAATTCTCGGCAATTCCAGTCAAATGATGGTGTTTAATCCGGTTTCTGACTAAAATACCAGTTCCGCCATGTGCCTTTCCATCTGGATGATTCGTGCAATAAAAGGTATATCCCGAAATGTCAAAATTATATCTATTAGTTAGGTGTGTTTCAGCAAGGAGCATTATGTCAATTTCCTTGTCCTTAAGAAATTTTGACAGCTCTAGTTTGTGGCGAGGAATGCCATTTGCATTCCAGAGGGCTATTTTAAGTAAGGTCATTATCTTGTTTGCTGAGTAGCAAGCAGGTTGAGCAGCGTATTTTGATTTCGCATGAGTTCTTGCATTGTGTTTTGCATGAAAGTCATGAAATTGATCATGCTTTGTTGCATCGACGCTATCATAGCTTCGATATTGGATTGTTTACCATATTGTGCATGGGGATGCTGTTCTTGCGGCGCAACTTGAGGTGCAGTTTTTGTAGGGGCACGGTTTTCTAAGCCTGATTTTAAGGCACTTGCAAACGAGACGCCATTGACGGTGTTTGATAGAGCTGTTGGCGACGTGGCTCTTTTGGCGAAGAAGACGTCAGGATTCGTTTGGGAGGGTACAAAGGCATTCGGTACATTATGAGTACGTATGGAAGCCACGCGTTGGTTGATCCGGTTTTTTAACTCCTCATAGACTGGACAGCCTCTGTAGTTTGCTGTGTGATTTCCACCGCAGTTACCACATTTTTTTGCACGCGGGTCTTCTTTGTTTGATGTGCAAGTGGCAGAGACATGTGGCTCTCCACAAGCTACGCACACTGAGCGAAGCGTGCAGTAAGACCTAGTATGACCATACTCCTGGCAGTTGGTGCATTGTACAGGGCCATTTCTCTTATGCGGTTCTTCCACAGTTATCCTACGATGCAGCAGATATTGTAATTTATAAATTGTATGCACATCGTTTTTGTCCAGAGGTTTGTTTTCAGGCTCGAGCTCAACTTTAAACATAGGTTGAGGGATTTTGTTCCTATTAAAAATATTCACAGCAGCTTTTGGATTGAAACCTTGTTCTTTAAGTGCTTCCAAAACTTCCACAGCTTCAACGCTTGGTTCGATACCTTTAATTACAATTTGTAGACCTTTTGCACTTTTAAGTTGGTATGTATAAAATTTTGTGTTTGTGTCATTCAGGTATTTGGACACTGTTCGAAAATCCTGTTCGGAATAAATTTGTACTTTAGTTTCGCGAATATTTCCCTTAGATAGTGGGATAATATGAAACTTATTACTACCGATTAGCTGTGTGAATTTTTTTACAAGAGCGCTTGGATTCTCTTCTCTTATAAAAGTGGGCGGAGGTTTGGCATTAGTAGCTTTTGCAGCACCTTCAGAAATTTGGCTATTCACATCATCGGCATTGTCACTTAGCAGTGCAAATCTATTCGTACTGACTTGCTGAGTTGAGGTAAGGCGGTTTATTTTTGTCTTACTGCCCGTTGAATTTTGCGGACTAAGTTTTCTTTTTATTGTAACATAGCGGTCCATTCCAGTCTGTATGGCCGCATTTTTAGTTGTTTCGTTTTTCAACATTTCTTGCGCTTTACCTTTGTTGCCAGTGCTTGCACTCAAGTTAATTTGTGCTTGTGCAGCAAGAATAGGCCGGGCTGTTGACACCGCTGTGCAGTCGGCAGGTACCGGTGTGTTTGTTGTTGTTGTTGGCGCGATAGAGGTGGTGAAACATGTCACTGTACTAGTTGTTGTTGCCGCTATATTTGGGGATATGTTATCGCTTACCGAATTTGATGTAAGCGTTGGGCGTGAAATGTGATACGGCACAGGTGAAGCGCACTCTTCACTCCAAGGCATCGGAGTCGTCAATGGTAAGTTTGGAGGACAAGTCCGCTGACCTGAATCTTGAGGGGGTTCGAGGGTGGTCGATGGATTGGGCTTTGCGCTTTCGCTGTCACTCTGGGACCGAATAGAGAAATATGCGTTGTTGCGTTGAACTGAAAGCCAGCGCTCATTTTGCTCGCGTTGCTTCTGGGCTCGGATTTCAGCTTGACTCATCGCTTTCTGTTTTCATTTGGTTTGTTTGTTTATTTTACTTATTTATTT